AGTAACAGAAATGCATAATCACTAATTCATTACTGCAAGAAGCTACTCTACCAGTAATTGAGTTACTGTGCCTCTTCTGGAAGCAATGTTAAAACTAAATTTGCTTAATTTTTTTTTATTCCTAGCATTACAATAACTTCATTTTAAAAAGATGAAAGTGAAAACAAAGATAAGCCCCATAACAAGTTCATTAAATTTATTTTACCTAAATTGGCACAAACCACAAGTGACATAACTTTCACTTTAGAATGACTTTAAAATTATTTAACTTCACTAGAGCCACCACCCTCATCTGCAAAGCAGCATTTTCTCTGACACAAGATCCCTACAGGATTAAAACACAAGCAGGTTAGAGATAGTTTTTGGCACACAAGCTGAAGTCAGAATAATCAGTCATAGCTCATGAGGGAGCAGAGGTGAATGGGGAAAGAAGGTGGTCGCCAAAGCATTTGGAAGCAAATACTCTTAAAATAGTAAGGCTTTTCCAAATGCCTACTTAGTGAAATTAGACCCACAGGAAAACCAGACCAGTTGAACTGTATAAATAGCATAGGCCACTTGATGGAAAAGGCAGCCAGTCTACCTAATTTTATTTTTTTTAAATGAAGAAACATAATGCCAATATACTGAATAATCCTGCTGGTTTCAATTAGCTCTGGACCTTTTCTCTGGCTCTGTAAGGTTCTTAACCATGGCATTAATGCCAAAGGAAATTATCCAGCTCCTTTACAAAAAAATTACCTGAACAGGCCAAGTAATGTTATGGTAAATGTTAATCTTAAACCTCAGATAGAAACAGCTACTCCTGAAATTATGACTACTTTTGGTTTTTAAATCATGTTTATTTTTCAGTTTAATAACAATGACAAAATACTGACTGCTCTTTGTTCTGTTCACCTGTCCCCTTGTATTTCTGGACAGAAGTGGATCTCCAGACCATATAAGATGACAAGGTTGATTCTACTGAAGGTTCATACCTTCTCTCCTCCATCCCATAAATACAGCTAGCAAATAATGAAAATAAACTACTGTCACAATTAATCTAGTGGCTTAAGAAAATTTCTGTAAATATCTTGCAATCTACCCAAATGAAAATTACTTAAATGTTATACAACCTTTTTCAATTAATAACATCTAAATGAACTGTGTGTCATGCAGGGCTTCAATTTGAAACGTATGTTTAATTATTTTTATAGTGAGAAGATGCAGTTGCTGGAGCATCTCCCCAGGGATGTGGTAGAGACCTCATCACTGGAGGTTTTCAAGATGCAGCTGGTCAAAGTTCTAGATAATCTCCCCCAGACTCCCTTTCACACAAAAAGTTGTGAACCTCTTTTGAGGTTCCTTCCAGCCTGGCCTGTTCTGTGATTCTCTCTGATCCACTGATGTAATCTCAGTTTTCTGTAGGGAAGAGGTTAACTTTTCTAGCCAATTTTCCAATAGGAAGCATCAAGAACTCATTCTGAAAAGGGGCTCACTGGTATTTCATTAAGTTCAGTTAACCACAACATTCTGTCATCGAATTAATTTATAAGACAAACTGCAAAAAGAGAGCATGTGGGAAAACTGAAATGATACATATCCAGGTTTTGTCTGAATGCACAGAAACATCATTTTAGTAATGATTCAGATGCATAAGCAATCCTGTCTGGAGAAAGCCCTTATTGATCTCCTGAAGTTGATTCATAAATCTGCTGCTAGAATATTTATCAAGTGGTATCATGAAAAATTCTATCTGGCAGTTGATCATATTTCTTCAGATGTGTTGTAAGTCTGTATTTTTACTCTTCCTTTGCTCTCTCTTCTTTCAGTAAAATCACCTCCTGATCTTCAAAATTTTTCTTTCCTGAGAGGTCCTGTGCTTTTGATCAAGGATTTTGCCTTTAGTACAACCTTAACTCCAACTTTCAGAAATTTGCATACATATTACAGCCATCAGATCATTACAGAACTAACTGCCTACCAGCTCCAAAGGTAATGTGTGTTTCCGTGTACTTTGAGTATCTACTGAAAAAAGGCAGTTGCTGAGTGGACAGAAGCATTAACTTAATCAACAACACACAGTCTCTCCTCTCTCCAAAATAAATGGTTTTTATGTTGCTTACTGAGCTTGAAAACTTGAAAGCTAAGTGCTTCCTCTTGGACAGGCTGAGTGTCTGAAATAACTGCTTTTAACAGCCCTGGAGCATCATTAAAGCTTTAAGACATTTCAGAAGCATTTGGTCTCCACGCCCCGTAGGTAAAAATTTACTTAGAATTGGTAAATCGAACATTGCTAAGTAAAACAATGTATTGTCTTTTACTTGTGCCTGTTAATAAGTACTTTAATTAAGACTTTTGGAAATAAGTTAGCAAATTAATTAATTTACAACTGCAATAAAAAAAATCAGTAAGAAACCCATTAAATATCATAAATAAGTCAATACATTACTTAGGAAATGAACTCTATTTTTATTACTAGAAATTACCATCCACTATAAAATGCCACTGTACCAATTACTTTACTTGTATAAGTAACTAATTTCTTAACTGATGTTATTAAATTAATATATTACTTCTCTGCAATTTGTATTTTTTTTTTCCTTTGGCTACTGCTCTTATTTAAATAGTAAGTTGTAAGAAAGAGAATTAGGCAATCAATAGCTTAGGTTTTACACACTGACAAACACAATTTGCTTCACATTTAAGTCGGTAATTGAAAGTCAATTGGTTGTAGCAGTCCAGGCAACGCTACCTGTAAGTTGTCCTGAGACAAAACCTACAGAAGTACAAGCAGTCTTTGTATTGACTGTAGGGGCTCTCTGATCAGATTCGAATCCTAAGGTTGAGAAAAGACTGTAAGAACTTTCCTTCTATTATGGGAATTGGGAAATGTGAAGATATTCAAGTGACAATGAACTAGACTTTTTTGATTTTGAGTTTTTAAATTTTTTAAACTGTTATTTTTCAGTTCAGATGAAATATTTTTTTCCAATGCAAAATCTTTTCTATGATTAAGGAACTCAAAAAAAAAAAAAAAAAAGGAATCACCAAACATGCAAAAGCAAATTCCAACCTCAAATTTCAACCTTCTTCAAACCTTTGTTGTTTTTCACCCAGAGGATGGCTGGGCACTGGAACAGGCTCCCCAGGGCAGTGGTCACAGCATTAAGCCTGACAGAGCTCCAGAAGGGCTTGGAGAATGCTCTCAGGCACATGTGACTCTTGTGCAGGCCTGGGATTTGGACTCAAGGATCCTCATGGGCCCCTTCCAGCTCATCATATTCTGTGATTTTTCTATATCTGTGCCTATGGAAATGGTGGCCTAACTTCCTAAGATTGTATGTACACTTTGATTTATTTTTAAATTGTGTTTATGGTCTTCAAAAGGCTTAGAAAAATCAGGCTGAAGGAATGTTTCTATTTATTAGATATTTCTTTCTCAAATTCAACCATGTTTTATGTGCTTCAGTAGCATTAAGGTATCCAAGTAGCTAAGCTGCCCAAAGGCTTCTAACAGCTGCAGAAAAATTAGATTTAGATTAATCTTTTCTTATTGCTTTCCCTATTTTCTCCAAGCTTAAGGTGTCACCCTCAGCTGCTCATGACCACCTCTTTCCTTGTAAAAGTACACTGCCACATCTTCAGCTGTACACAAAAGGCTTAGTGACCTAAACCAACCGAAAATAAGAGAACAAGTGGTTTTGTTCTCTGGTGGCATTGTTCTTACACTGTGTCCTATAAGCAGGGCAGAGGAGTAGCTGTTTGCTACAAATCTGCAGGCAAAATGGGAGATTTGTTCCTTCTTTTGCTCAGAATGTATCCACATGGCCTCAGCCCTTGACATCCATCATCTGCACAGCATTGCTTGCTGTTGGTCAGAACTCCCAGTCTGGCACCTCAGGCTCGCCCCTGAGTGCTCCCAAGACAGGAGTTCCTGTGCCCACAGTCTGTTGCACTGAATTCCCAAGGCACTGTGGATGACTTGTGTCCTTAAACCAGCAGCAGAACAGGCACCTTCTGTCTGAACATGCCTTTGCTTCCAGCACAATGTCAGGCTGCTCCTTGTTGGAGCTTAGAGAGCACCTTTATGTACAAACAGTGCAATAAATCCTTTAATACAACTGGCCTTTGTGGAGAGCAAGGTAAATGACCAAAATAATGTATGTTCTGCAGCACATTTCCCTGTCCTAGAGAGGTTGAAAAGAAGGGCATGCAGCTCAACTCAGCACTACTCCAAATAAATAAAATGGACAAAAAGTAATGCGTTAAGAGCTATAAGTAGTAATATTCTTCACTGACACGCCACCTAAAGATTTCAGAATGATTCACAGAGTCCATAAAACTGGTAGAACTAATATGCAGCTGCTTCTGGCACAGAGCAGTGAATTTACATACTTGGATTGATTACATAGCTTCTACTTAAAGAAGTAGCCCCCATTTAGGTTGCCCATTATTAGAATTCCACGCATTACATGAAGCTATTAGGGGCTGCTCAGCAATAACTGCTTTGGAACATTGCCAAATAAAGGCATACTTTATTAGAATCAAGATTTCCACAGTTGTTTAAAAAACAACCCTGAAATTTGTAACCATGATCATTAAAAAAAGATGGCTTGCAAGATGTCTGTCTGAGAACCCCTCATCTGTTCTACTTTCTGCTGCAGAAAAGTGAAGTTGTCAGGATACGCATCTGGCAAGTCAGGATGAATACTGCTTCTTTTCTCCCAAAATTAAATTTTCATAGCTATTCTTCCCAAATGGAAAAAAAAATAAATAAAAACAACCAAAAAACCAAACCAAACCAACAAACTCGCTTTTAACTTCTTGAAGGAAAGTTTTAAGGTAACATTAGAAAAGATCTTTCCCTGAGAGGGACCCTATTTATTTTTTTTTAAATTTAAATTATTCATTTGACAAGAACCTTTCCTTCTGTGGCGTCTGCAGCAGTCAGAAATCGTGCTTCTCTCCAAAAAGGCATCAAAGCACTATTAGTTAGAAACAATAAAATACTCTGTTACCTGAACTGCAGTTCTTCATGGCAAAGGAATCCACGGCTGCCACGCTCTTGTTCCCATTAGGAACATATTCCAGGGAGATCCGAAATGGTTTCTCCAGGTGTCCAACTCTCCTTTGAAGCAACACCCATCTGGTCTCATCACAGAGCAAGAGGAAAAAACACAGGAGAAGAGCTGTAAGAAAGGCTACTACTTTACAAATACCAAATCCCCCAAAGGAGCAGCTCCACATATGGCTGGTCACACTGTGCCTCCTACCCGAGTCCTCACTTCCCTCACAGTGCCCCATGGTCAGGACCTTTCCCTCCCATGGATTTTGCAAAAGTAAAATTCTAAGCACCAAGATTTCCACCCAGCTAAGATGTGGAAACCCAACTAAACAGCAGCTTATTGCTCTCTTCTGTCACACTTCTGTGCCCCCAGATGTCTGCCTGCTGTTTAAAGGAAACCAAACTCTGTGCAAAGCAAGCTGTGAAATCTGTAGCACACGTGCACATCCCCTTTAAATACCATTTCTGAGTCTTACCAAAAAGTCTCTTAGTCACTCAGGAAATAAGGCAGTCTCCAGGGCTGTACAATAGCTCTAATTCCCAGCACTGCATCACGAGTTGAAGTAACACATTTTACTTCTAAAGCAGTTGGCCGGAACATCTACCTGTGCACAGAGCACCACATCTAAAACATGCCATTTCTCCTCCTCCACTTCCTGTCCCTCTTTTCCTGCTTACCTCCCTCCCAAATGACAAAAATTCCCAGTAAGTAAATCAAGGAAGTGAATTAGCAGCCCAGGAGATTAACATCCACACTCCAAGAGCGGTACAACTTAATCTGCTTGTTGCCAAGAGTAAATGAGAACAAAAAGCCTGCTTGAGCTTTATTTATTCCCTGAGATGCTAGAAGACATCAGTTCCTGGCTGTCTTTAATGTCTACCTTCTCCCCTCTGATCAGCTGGGTCGGCTGCTTTACCTGAACTAACTTCCAGTCAGAGAGCACAAGAATTATTCCTAGACCCCCGATTCCAATTCTCTATCCCACAAGACATGTCTGAAGGTAGATAGTAAAAAATGAAAACATCTGTCTTTTTGCCAATATTCTGGAATTCTGCAAGGAAAATGTTAAGGACTTAAATACTTGTACAATAACATGGTCTGACCCATCTCCCTTCTCATCCTTGGGCACAGGCTGCCAATAAAACCACTTGACACCATTTATGAAGGGCTGCTTCCCAAGAGGCACGTATCACCTCAGCAGTGATATGGATCCCATCCCCTGTTTCACTCCAGTTTATCAGGGCCTGCTCACTAACCATAAACATGATCAGGGGCAAGAGATTCTGTAAAGTCACTCAGCCACTACTAATTCAATTTTTTCACATTTCTCTTCTGTTACAGGAAGAATTCAGCACCAAGGGAAAAGTCCCTTTGTAGCATACTGTAAATGGTCAGCTGGAGCCTAAGAAACCAACAGGACCTAACAAAGCCTATTATGAAATGCAGCTCCAGCTGCAACTTTTGAAAGATGAGACCAAAAATGTATTGTGTTTCCTTAAGTTGTTTTTAAACACCACTATTAAGCATTTTAGGGGAAGACTGTAATTATTTCTGGTTATCAGAAATTTTGCATTGCCCTTTGACAAAACCCCACATTTTTTATTGCTCTTACAAAAATATTTCCTTTTTAAGTACCCCCATTGTCTCCCTGTATATGTATTTGTGTTTGTCCATGAGCTGTGAAAAAGAACACCTTTTTTGGGGGGGAAGGTAACCCTCTGGAACAGATCTTCTGAGCACAAGAAACTACACAGCTTATCTAACATCCATTACAAGAATTTCCTTCTCCAGAAGCATGCCCGGAATTTGGATGTTATAAAGTTCAGAAACCCTTCTGAAAGGAAATACAACAACATGTGTGTATGACATTTGCAACAACTGACCATCATTTGTGGCTGCTAGGAACATGGATCAATCCTAAATTGCAGACCCTGCACTGTGACAGAAGCTAGGAGACTTTTCTTGGTTCCAGTGGCAGACAAGTTGTTGTCTCCTCAGGGACACAGTGGTGTCATTATGCTTCACTGAACCAAACAAAATTCCCAGCAGGCAAGGAAGCTGCTGACAGGTATGTGAAGGACCTAAAGAGAAGTCCAAAGCAAGGGTTACAAAAGGACCCTGCTGGCAGCTATTGCAGTTCAATGTGCAACTCAGAAAAGCAAACACAGCTTTTTAATGATTTACTAGGTGTCCTCCTCCCTCTTTTTTCCATTGAGAAGAGTGAAAATAGACTGCTAAATTTCATTTTTTGTTTACAGTTATTTTCATTTCCACATCTCATCTTCCACCTTCTGTGCTCTAGGCTCTCACTTGAGAGGAGGATGTTGGCATCCTCACTCTTTTTCTGTCCCACTCCCCCCAGAGATAAATCTGCTTTTGCTGAAATTAAATAGAATAAAGCATTGAGAGTATTTTAAAATGCCTAGCTTCTGTGCGAGTTATTTCTTCTCATGTCATCTCAACTTAGGTATATTATAAGGATTAGAAGATACAAATTTCCCTACAAATAGAGCCAAAACCAACCCTAGATGAAATTTGATTATGAAATACAAAAGCATCTGTATGTCATGAAAATTGTTTTCCTCAGCTTCAGAAGACTGATGGATTTTAATTCCAAGTACGCAGTGGCTCTCAACAATGATTTCCATTTCTGTGTTACTGCTAACCCTCTGGATAAATGTGCCAGGAGTTTTAGGAATTGCTTTTTTGAGTTACTGGTGCAATAACTTTAGTTTGAGATTCTCAGGCCTCTCATAGTTTACCACAGAAACTTTATTAACTCCCAGAGCTGTTGCCAAGCAGGTGTTTTATATCACCACAACAGAAGACTGGAAAACGCAGACTCACTCAAGCCCAGATTCATTACAAAATATATTCATACTTCGTGGTACAAATTCCTACAATAGGTTGCCTGATATTCAGAGATTCATGTGAAAAGAAATACCAAGTACCAGCCTCTTACTTTTGAGACAAAGATGACATTAAATGGTGGATTTATCAGGGTTACTAAAAATAGCTCCAGGGTCACCAGAGGCACCTGTGGGCAAACTCAGATAGGAATCAGTTCTGGCATCACTCTGTGGCAGATTTGGGACTCTGATCTCCAGACCTTCTATATAACACACTGTATTACACAGACCCATACTCATTTGCACATCCTGTACTATATATAGGCTGCCTGGCAGCAGCATCAGCAACATCTACTTCAGCATAACCAATACATATTAGATGTTATTTAGCAGTAGCTTTATTAAATTTCTATCAGTGGTCTGCTGTGGCTGCATTTCTCTTCACAGAGAAAAGCAAGGCACAAATTCCCAAGGATATTTTCTGGGAATCGCAGCGAGGAACCTCAGAGAAAGAAGAAACAATTCTTATCTCATTTGCTGTGCCTGTGTTTGTGCAAAAGTAGAATGCAACATGGAAACTGTTTACCCAAAGTGATGGTGTTTTGTTTCCTTGGCCTATCAGGGCCAAGCACGTGTCCAGACTGTTGGTCAGCAGACAGTCAAAAGATTCTGTACAGTGGATTTGAGTGTTTGTGCAGATTCAGTTTAGTTGTGGTGTAATATAGTATAGAATAATATAGTATAATAAAGTAATTAATTAGCTTTCTGATATTATGGAGTCAGATGTATGATTTCTTCCTTTCATCAGGGTTACCCTGACTGCTTTGCTATAGTCTACATGCTATGAATCTAATTTTAGAAAGCATTTTAGCAAGGTAACAGAAGCCACTTCAGTTGTCTTTTGGGATAGATGGGGAAACACCATGTATGGAACCCCATACTGGAGTCATACTTCACCAGCCTGACAGGTTTCTGTGCTGAGATGATAGGCTTGCTCAAGGAGGAGAGCAGTGGATGTTGCTTGTCTTGGCTTGATAATGTTTCCCATCATTACTCTCTCCCATCCCATCATCACTGACTGATGGAAGCACAGACTTTGAGGTGGACTGGCTTAGAGGGTTATCACCACTGTACCAAGTCCAGCTGGAAGCCAGTCACTGGGGGTATTACACCTCTGGTTTTATAGTGTTTTCTGTCCTCGTCAATGACCTGGATCATGGGACGGGCTGCGCTATCAACAAGCTTCCAGCAAGACTGGGAGAAGCAACTGATGCACGGGACAGCTGGGCTGCCATTGGAAGAGGTTGGAAATTTGAGTCAACAGGAAGCTCATGAAATTCAAGAAAGAGAAACTGCATTGCCTCTGCAGAGGAACTACCTCATGCACCAGCACAGGCCAGAGAGCGGCTTTGCAGAAGACAACCTGTGGGCCCTACAAAATACCGAGCCTAAGCTAGAAACATGTCCCCAGTGAAAAGAAAGGCCAATAGTTTACCAGGCTGCACTGGGAAACACAGATCAAAGGGGTGATTCTTCCTCACTATTCAGCTCTGGAGAGACACTCCTGGAGGACCAGGTCCAGTGCAGACCTTTCCAGCACAAGACAGACACGAGGTACAGAAGTGAGTCCAGCCAACAGCCACAGAGATGATTTAGGTACTGGAGCATCTGACATACAAGAGGAGGCTGGGATTGCTTAGACAGCAAGAGAAGAGAAGAGGAGGCTCAGAAAGGATCTTATCAGTGTTGATCTGTTATAGGTGAATGGAAAGGAGACAGATTTGGACAAGGGTATCCAATGAAAGGCAAGAACAAGGAACTTTCCTTGGACTGAAAGACCAGAAATTCCATTAAAACACAAGAGAAAGCTTGCTTGCTTTAAGGGTGACTGAACACTGAAACAAATTGCCCAGAAATCTTATGTAGCCTCTATTTCCAGATATTTAAAATGGGAATGGATATAGATCTGGGTAACCTGCTTCTCACTCAGCATCCAGAAGGGAACTTAGACTACTCAATCTCAGGAGTTCCTTCCAGCCTCAACCATTCTGCATTTGTGAAACACAGGACCCAAAAGCAAACAACAGCAGGTAACAGATTACTCCTGTTATCCTCTGCATGACCTCCAAGCACTCTAGAGAGTGATGAATCAGCCCAGTAAGCTGACAACTGCAAGGACAAAGGCATCACTTATTGTACCCAGAGCTATTATCACATAGCCTTCAACATCA